TCTAATTTGAAATTTCTCTTATATTACATATTGGCATATATATGCATAATATTACTTTTCTAATTTGAAATTTCTCTTATATTACATATTGGCATTTACATGGATTTAAATTGTTTATAAATTAGTTCTTAATTATCTAGAAATTAGTTCCTACTTTGAAATTCTTCCACTATTATATTACATATTGGCATATATATGCATCATATTTATTGCAAGTCAATTTCTACATTTACTTGACAAATGTGGTCAAGCAAATGTAAATGAGGAAACTTACAAGCAATTGAAAGGAAGTGATGAACGGAAAAGATTGAAAGATTCTTGAGTTATTTTAACCCTCTTTATAAAAGGTCCAACATTAACTTTGCTACTTTTGGAACAAATAGTTTTCCACCAAATGTAGTTCTTTTTCTCTAGGTTTTGGCTCCCACTTCTTGTCACTTTCTTTATTCTTCTTACTTTCTTTTTATTCTTTGCGGGATTAAAAGTGAAATTTACCCTATAAATTTATTAAAACACTTTTAATGAAATTATTTGTTACATTTTTTTTATTAAAAATATTTTAATGAATTTGTAATTCAACCTGTACATTTAATGTTCAATACACCTTACAAAACACTTTTTTGTGATTCTTTTACTATTTCTATTTTTTTTCCCTGACAAAGTGAAATTAAAGAATTTAAAAAAGAAAGAGTTTATCTTAACATATTTACATCTTTTCATCTTTACATAATTAAAAAATCAACATCACTTAAGTCATTAAAAAAACCTAATTACAGGTATTTTAAAATCCAATAATTTTTTCATTTAAGCTCAATCCTCCGATCCACTCTAAAAACCTACTAATCTACTTATCTGTCTATTTATCACCAATTTCCTAATTTTTTTCCAATAAAAGCCTATCTAACCAAGCAGGCCAAATATCCCCAATTCCCTAATTTCTTTCCAATAGAAGCCCATCTAACCAAGCAGCACAATATCTTTACATGATTAAAATATCAGCACTAGTTAAATCATTAAAAAAAATTTTAAAATACCTAATTAAAGGTGTTTTGAAGCGCAATAATTATTTTATTTCAACCCAATCTCCTCCGGTCCACTCTAAAATTTCATTAGTCTGCCTATCTGTCTCTATCATCTATTCCCTAATTTCTTTCTAATAGAAACTCATCTAACCAAGCAAGCCCATTAATACTTCTCAATTCTCTCCAAAGACATCGGCCTACCGCTCAAAAGTCCCAATTTTCTCCATTTTCGATTCCCTATTCTTCTTCCTTATTTACAACAACTGATTCATACCCCACTACGCGGGGCTATCAATGATTTAATTGAGTATTTTATTTTAAATATAACTAAAATAATTATACATATATAATTTTAATGATAGTAATATAGAGATAATTTTTTTATATTATTTTTTTATATATAATTTTTATATATCATTAAATAAATAAATATATTTAATATTATAAATTTCAAAT